GTTGTCACTACTTTTTATCTGACCTTTCTATATAATACAGCAGTACTTCTTCCCAGTTCTCCCCTACTACTCTGGTATCTACCGTAAGTGGTTGAACAAAACCACAAAATACCCCAGTCAGTACAGCTGTCTCAGTGCAGAGAACTTAACATGTTACTTACTACTGACTGTTTGCTCCATTGCCTTGACACTTCGTCTTTTTACAATTGCACACCTATGTTTATACTGTACTATAGCAACCTTCCACTTGTATATTCTTCCTAAGAGCTGAACAGGAACTCACCAGCCTACACATTTCGACCCTGAAGATGGAGGTAGAATGCAACTCCGAAACGTCAATATTCAAAAGTTGTTACGAGAGGATACATTAGAAACACACACACAGTAAGGTGATTTCACAGGCCCACTTTCATGTTTTAAAAATAAGAAAAGTGAGCTAAATTGGGCATCACATTGAACAGGTGGGTCTAGAGGTAAGGCTTGTATTCAGCAGGCATTCAGTCTAAATTTCAGCCTGAACACTGGCTATAATAGCCAAGATCTTTGTGGTTTTCCTCAGTCTGGCTATGCAAATCCCAGGATAGTACCTCTGTTAAGTCACAGCCCCTTCCTTCCAACACGCCATTCATTAGTCACCCATTTGATGCTGTATAACCCAGATACTGACAGCATCATAAGATAAACCATAAAAGAAATTAATTACCTTTTCCTGTAAAATTCTGTTAACTGTACACAATTTGAATGAGAGCCGATAAATACCGTAGTTCTCTACTTATTCTACAAGATTTAAATATCTGTGTATGGTACTAGTAACAATAATACATTTTGAAAGTGTGCCCATTTATTTACATGAACTTTGGGCTGGGTTTGTGCTATGAAACTTACATGCAGTTCCCTTCGAAGGATCTGTGTCATTGGAACAAAACTAGTTCATCAGCACAGCTGATGTTAATGATGTGAGGGATGTCATTTTTACAGGAAAAGGGTAAAGCATCCTGCGCCTTAAGCTACTCACTGGCATGTAAGTAAGGGCATACTTTGATAGCAAGTGAGATAAAACAGCTGAAGCTGATCACAATGTAAACGTCCGGTTATATAGCACTACCTGAGGTCACAAAACATGTTACAGATGCTGTAATATTCTTGATCCCAGTTAAGGCTGTGAATGTACTGACTGCAGCATTCATCATCCCATCAGCGGTACATATTCCCAGCATCTGCCATGGAATTGTCAAACTATAGCATAAGCAACAATTAAAATCAGAATAATGATTATTAGTAAGAGAGGAGCTGACTTCAGGAATATGGACTTAACTTTGAGAGAATACTGTATGAAGTTGATAAGTGATATGCCTTGATAATTACTGCAGTCAGATTTATAGCCATACTTGCAAACTGTTACAATAACAGGCTCCTTCCATTGATCAGACAGTTCTTTCTCGTGTGTTATGATACTGGATATCAAAACAATATTTCACCTCCTGTTTGAATCAGTTCTGCTGGAATTTTACCAGAATATGGTGATATATACCTTTCAACTTTGAAACAGCAGTTTCAACCTCAAAAGGACTACACTCAGGTATCAATGTCTCAGCTGTATATACTTCCATGTGCCTAACATCACTAACCTCATGCGCATTCAACAGCTATTCAAGTGGGACTGTGTATGCAAATCACCAGTCTCATCCTTTAACAGGTTAGTTCCAGGTTGGTAACACTTCTTAAATTAATTTATTCCTCTATACAGGTCTCTAATGTTCTTCTTCTGATGGTCTTTTGCAAGCTCATTAATTTTCTCTCAGATATTCAATCTTTTGGTTCCTGATGTCTACCAATGTCATGTCTTACATTATTCAGATTATCTCCATTTATTTGGCTCAGATTTCAACCAGTGCAATTTGGCTGGTATCCTTCCATCTAATTGTTCTGAACATCCTTCATTTAACTATGGTGCATAGTGCTTCAATTCATAACCTTTAAACGCCGGACTTCTGAAATAGTGGTAAGCTTGAGCTGGCCGGAGTTTATTTAAATGCCCGCTGCTGGTGCGCGTTTAAATGCCCGTTGTAACTCTGCGTTTAAATGTCCATTTCTGTTAGTGCACCTAAACAATTTTAAGCATTGTGTTAAAAATGCTGTATCTAATTCAATTTTTATGATAAATGGATGGAATTAATTTTGTTTGTATCAGCAAAGAACATTCTGTCGCATATTATAACGGAAGGTTTTGAATTTTTTTTATACAAATTATACTCCATTTCAATTTTTTGTCTTTTAATTTTGATGAGTACTGCAAAAATGATTTCCCAGTTCTTCACAGAGTTGTTCTGCATTACAAATTCATTTCTGTTTGTAACACTTGACAAATTTTAGCAGTCCCTGATGTCATAAAACAGATGGAAGCAATAAAATCATTTGGTCTTCTGCTAGCACTGCTTACACTCTTCGGATTTTCGAATCTTTTGACTGAAGGTCAGAAGAATGAAAGAATGGCTATTCAAGAGAAAGCTAGAGGGGTCCCTTCTTCAGTTTCTGTTATAGCTGCAAAAGCTTATTGCCTTTCTATGGGCCTGAACAGACAGCTGCATCGCAGCTCAGATTCAGAGTGCGGTCTGTTTTCTGTGCGTGCTTAGTGAAATCGAATACTGCAGTTTTATTTCAGCCTAGATATACATCAAGCAGATAACAACAAAAAAGGTATGTACAAGGTGTGGCAATAAAGAAACCGGATTCATGCTCTAACCCTTTATTAAAAAAAAATCAGACAGTCGAAATGTTATCCCCTTCAATGTAGTCCCCTCCCCGATCCCTACACCGCTCCATGCGAATTTTCCACTGTTGGAAGCAGTGCTGCAGGTCATCTTGTGTTATGCTCTTCAAGAGTTGCGTCGCTTTTGCTTTCACTGCATCCACGGACTCGAACCTGGTCCCTTTCAGCGCAGACTTGATTTTTGGGAAGAGAAAAAAGTCGCACGGTGCTAGGTCCGGAGAATACGGTGGATGTTCCATCACTGGAATGTTGTTTTTTGCCAAATACCTCTTCACAGAT